CAGCTAGTTCTGAACCACAGTTCTGAACCAACCACAGTTCTGAACCAACCACAGTTCTGAACCACAGTTCTGAACCACAGCTCTGACTCGCAGGTCTTCTGCAGCGACAACTCTAAAGAAGGAAACTCAGTGTGTTTGGACAAATACCAGCAGCCACTTATCATCTGATCTGTTGAACTGGAGGATTGCTTACTATCAAACACACATGGAGCGGATGAGTTGCGTCGTTTTATGAGCAGACATGAGATAGTTCATGTTTGTCTCTGCTCCTAGAGATGAACCCTGTTCCGGATGATTGACAGCCGTGGACTGAAGCCGTCTGTATTTCTGCTGACGCAGCTCGCAGAAAGCTGAATAAAACCAGCCTGAAGCTCACTTCACAAGAGTTACACTAGAAAACATTTCATGCAAAGCATGTCCAGTACACGTATCGAGCATTACGCTGTTAGCTAGCAGGAAGGCACTGGTCTAAAAGTAGGACCAGCGCGGGGTGTGAACACGTCTCAAGCAGCGGGGACAGCGCTGTGTTTCTCACTTACCCTAGATCCTCAAGAGACACGAGAATATCATTCTCCATCTCAATAGTTTGTGTTGTAAAATTACAGACAGGCAGCAGTTTCAGCCAGCTCAGCTGATACACGTTGAAGTTCGTCTTCTTCGAGGTTTAATGGCGGTCGGTACGAAGCGTCCAGGCGCTTTACCGCCACCTACAGGACATACACATATATTACACATATATCATCCTGCTCGTGCACTGTCTGTAGCACACGTTTTTAGTTTGCTTATACTGTATCTCTTATACTACATATACCACTCTACAAAGTCCTGATGGTTCTTTTAGAGGACAACTGTAGCTTAACAATTGTGTTTACGTGTGGGGGTGTGACCTTGCCAAGTTTCAGGTGGACTACAGGAAGAAGATCAGTCCCCCCACCCCTATACCATACCATACCATACCATACCATACCATACCAATTTATTTATATAGCACTTAAAACAGCAACAAGGCCAACCAAAGTGCTGTACAAAAGAACCAAACATGCACAGCAGACAGGAAAACATAAAATAGAAATACAGATACAAATAGCAGCAGAAGCTAACTAAAATGGCCAACAGAGTAGAGAACAGACCGGACCAAAACAAATCACACCGTGTTAAAAGCAAGAGAATAGAAGTGGGTCTTCAAGCGAGACTTAAAGACTGAGAGTGTGGGAGCCTGCCGGACACTCAGTGGCAACTCATTCCACAGTCGTGGACCTGCAACAGAGAAAGCCCTGTCACCTCTGAGCTTACGACGGGTTTCTGGGACTGAGAGAAGCATCTGGTCTGCTGACCTCAGAGAGCGCGGTGGGACATATGGCTGCAGAAGATCAGTGAGATAGGATGGGGCGGAACTGTTCAGTGATTTAAAAACATACATGAGAATTTTGAAATGGATCCGAAGGTGAACGGGTAGCCAGTGCAGGGAGGCCAAAACTGGCGTGATGTGCTCTCTATAGCCTGTACCAGTTAAAAATCGGGCTGCAGCATTTTGGACCAGTTGTAGACGTGCCATGGAGGACTGACTGATTCCAAACAGAAGTGAATTGCAGTAATCAAGCCTATAACATCAAGGGTACTAAGGTGGACACTGTGGGCTTCTACAAGTAAGGGCAGAGTCGCCTTCTTCTTCTGAGGAGACTCAGGTCTTTTAACGTCTGCAGGACCATGCTGTAGATGTTTTACCACTCGGTGGTCTCCAGCATCTTCTTCTACAGTGTGGTGTGCTGGAACAGCAAGGTTGATGCCAACAGACTCAATAAACTCATCAAGAGAGCTGGTTCAGTTCTGGGAGTGGACCTGCAGTCTCTGACAGAGGTGTCTGAGCAGAGAATGCTGAGGAAACTGCTCCAGATCCTGAACAACACGTCACGCCCCTTGCATGACACCCTGGACTCTTACCACAGCACCTTCAGTCGTAGACTGAGACCACCGAGGTGCTCCACAGAACAAGACAGGAAGTCTTTCCTCCCTGTGGCTGTCAAACTTTTTAACTCCTCTCCCTTTCTGCACATAAGACAATAAAATTAATCCTGTACTACAATAAACTCTTTAATGTTTCTGTCTGTACCTGACCTGTTTAGACATTAATTGTTGATTTTTTTTATTCTCTGTTTTTTTTTAATATCTTGTGTGATTCCTTGTGTATGTTCGTTTGTACTGAAACTCTGGCACAACAATTTCCTGCGGGATCAATGAAGTTCTGTCTCATCTTATCTTATCTTTTCCTTTTCCTGTCTTTTCAAAATGACTGGCATCCCTACAAGCTCATTTTATGGAAGAAAGAAAACTAAGTATATTTAAAATGTTTTTTATTTTTGTACAAACCGGATTCCAAAAAAGTTGGGACACCAAACAAATTGTGAATAAAAACTGAATGCAATGATGTGGAGATGGCAAATGTCAATATTTTATTCGTAATTTAACATAGATGACAGATCAAAAGTTTAATCTGAGTAAATGTAACATTTTAAAAGGAAAAATATGTTGATTCAAAATATCACAGTCAACAAATCCCAAAAAAGTTGAGACAAGTAGCAATAAGTGGCTGGAAAAAGGAAATTGAGCATATAACGAACAGCTGGAAGACCAATTAACACTAATTAGGTCAATTGACAACATGATTGGGTATAAAAAGAGCTTCTCAGAGTGTCAGTGTCTCTCAGAAGCCAAGATGGTAAGAGGATCACCAAATCCACAATTGTTGTGCAGAAAGATAGTGCAGCAATACCAAAATGGTGTTACCCAGCGTAAAATAGCAAAGACTTTTAAGTTATCATCATCAACCGTGCATAACATCATCAAAAGATTCAGAGAATCTGGAACAATCGCTGTGCGTAAGGGACAAGGCTGTAAAACTCTACTGGATGCTCGTGATCTCCGAGCCCTTAAACGTCACTGCACCTCAAACAGGAATGCCACTGTCAAGGAAATAACAGAATGGGCTCAGGAATACTTCCAGAAAGCATTGTCAGTGAACACAATCCACCGTGCCATCCGCCGTTGCCAGCTGAAACTCTACAGTGCAAAGAGGAAGCCATTTATAAGCAAGCTCCACAAGCTCAGACGTTTGCACTGGGCCAGGGGTCATTTAAAATGGAGTGTGGCAAAATGGAAGACTGTTCTGTGGTCAGACGAGTCACGATTTGAAGTTCTTTATGGAACACTGGGACGCCATGTCATCCGGACCAGAGAGGACAAGGATAGCCCAAGTTGTTATCAACGCTCCGTTCAGAAGCCTGCATCACTGATGGTATGGGGTTGCATGAGCGCTTGTGGCATGGGCAGCTTGCATGTCTGGAAAGACACCATTAATGCAGAGAACTATGTTCAGGTTCTAGAACAACATATGCTCCCATCTAGACGTCATCTCTTTCAGGGAAGACCCTGCATTTTTCAACACGATAATGCCAGACCACATTCTGCAGCAATCACAACATCATGGCTACGTAGGAGAAGGATCCGGGTACTGAAATGGCCAGCCTGCAGCCCAGATCTTTCACCTACAGAGAACATTTGGCGCATCATAAAGAGGAAGGTGCGACAAAGAAGGCCCAAGACGATTGAACAGTTAGAGGCCTGTATTAGACATGAATGGGAGAGCATTCCTATTTCTAAACTTGAGAAACTGGTCTCCTCTGTCCCCAGACGTCTGTTGAGTGTTGTAAGAAGAAGGGGGGATGCCACACAGTGGTAAAAATGGACTTGTCCCAACTTTTTTGGGATTTGTTGACGCCATGAAATTTGGAAACAACAGATTTTTCCCTTAAAATGATACATTCTGGGGCAGCACGGTGGCGCAACTGGTAGAGCTGCTGCCTCTCAGCGAGCAGGTCCTTGGTTCAAACCCCGGTCCAGGGGCCTTCTGGGTGGAGTTTGCATGTTCTCTCCGTGCATGCATGGGTTTTCTCCGGGTACTCCGGTTTCCTCCCACAGACCAAAAACATGTATGTTAGGCTGATTGGTAACTCTAAATTGTCCCTAGGTGTGAGTGAGAGAGTGAATGGTTGTTTGTCTTGTTTGTCTGTCTCTATGTGGCCCTGTGATGGACTTGCGACCTGTCCAGGGTGTACCCCGCCCCTCGCACAGTGATTGCTGGACATGGGCACCAGCGACCCCCGTGACCCAAAATGGAATAAACGGGTAAAGATAATGGATGGATGATACATTCTCTCAGTTTAAACTTTTGATCTGTGATTTGTGTTCTATTCTGAATAAAATATTAGATGTTGGCACCTCCACATAATTGCATTCAGTTTTTATTCACAATTTGTTTAGTGTCCCAACTTTTTTGGAATCCGGTTTGTATTTGGATTAACTTTTAAATAAATATCTAATAAGTAAATTCATTAACCTTACAGAATTAAACCTAATTTTTTTAATAAGGAAACACTTGATTGATGTCTAGTGCACGTCAGGACTTTGTATTTGTTTTTTCACCTTTTTTTCATAGACAGCTCTTTGACAGAGGCAGATAAATTTCTTTACAGAATCACTGAGGGAGGTTCAGACATTGATCTTTCAGAAGATGAGTCCAAAGAGACAGACAGGAGAGGGTGAGGACTCAGATGTGGAATCAGATGAGGATGACCAAAATGCAAATCCAGATGTAGTGGACAAAGACACAGGGCCAGCTGCTGTGTGTCGTCATCCTGTTTGGGCCAAAACCAACATGTATACATGATCTGATCCCTGTTGCTACAAACAATAATCCTGTGATTTATAATTTTGAGAAAAAAAAAAAGAAGAGTGCAGTGGTTGCAGAATATAACACCAACATGGGAGATGTTGACATGTGCGATCACATGCTCATCTTCTACACAATGTCCAGCCGGACCAAGAAGTGGACTGTTCGTAACATACTCCACTTAATTTATTTAGCCAGTACAAATGTGTGGCTTCAGTACCAACAAGACACCGAACACGTCCCAGTACCTGGAGTTCAAGCTCCTCTTGGCCGAGGAACTGATTACCCAGGGACAAACATGTCCACAAGACCTGAATGATTTGAGTGATGAGGAGTTCTCCCAGGGTTCAAGAAACGGAAGCATCGTCCAGATGGGAGAATAAGAACATTTGGTGCAGTCTACTTGACAGAAATGGTTAACAGTCCAAGGCCTTTTAGGTGCAGATTGCAGAACACCTGGAAGCAACATTAAAACATCTGTAAGATGTGTGAAGTGTCAAATGTATCATAAATGACTGGACTTTTATGAGACAAAAGGTCCAGTCGCTTGTTCCTAGACCAGTTGTCTAAAGCTAGAGAAAAGTCAATGAGTTAAAAGTTAAACATGATCTGATTTTCTATGTTTTATATAAATATGTTTATTGTGTTTTAATATTCTGTTTACAAAGATTTTTGTGGAGCTTTCAATTTTATAATCAGCTCTTGAAATTTATTATCAATCAATCAACCTTTATTTATACAGGTAAATCCCATTGAGCCTCGAGGACTCAGTTACAAGAGAGACCTGATTTCAACAAAGAAAGATGAAAACAATGGACAACAGCAACAACAATAAACAGTTATAAGAAAAGCATACTACAGTTTTTTTTTTTTTTTTTTTAGCAAATAGGCTGGCTAAAAGGAAAAGGTAACAAAACAAAAAAACCAGCTAGATTCCAAGACAAATGTA